TTACGTCATCTTATTTACGCACGGGCGTGCGTAAATAAAGATTTTGTTCATAGCGGCTCAGTAGGACTTATATAGGGCAAGCACGCGCGCTATGTTATAAAAGCCAATTTAGAATATTATTAAATTCTTATACTCTGTAAAACCTACGCAAAGACATGACGATATAATTGCCCCCGCAGGGATTTCGCCCAGAAAGCGAAATCCCGATAAGGCACTCTAGTAACTCGCGCGTATATTAAGGAAAGTACTTACAGTTGAAATATACAGTCATACAGTCAATATGGAAGAAATCTCGATTTGCTTGAACAGGGGCCGCGAGGAATCAGTAGGAAATGATGACGTCTCTATTGTTTGCGCCCGCAAGTACGAAATGGTTAGGATGACGTTAAGACAGAACATCCCCAAGGGACCGCTTAGGTAGATTTTGTGACATTTATTGTGCAGTCATACTTCGACACTCTTTTGCGATACGTGTTATCAGTGACATTCTGTGGAGCAGTTGTTTCAGTGAAAGTTATGGACCAAAATTTTAACGACACTCGTTAAGCGCAGAAGAAGTTAAAGGTGCGTATAACTGTGTATATATAAACACTTGGAGAGTTTGCCAGACACGAGTTCACAAATCTTTCAGTGGAAACCTTGCCAGACACTCTTTCTCTCTCTTTGACCGGAATAAGACTCAGCCCCAAACAAACAAGACGAGTGAACAACGGCTAGCTTCTCACTAGCAGAACGATGGACGATTACAGAAATTCGCCGAAAATCAAATTATGTGCTGACTTATTCCCTGCTCACTGATGTCCTTCCGTTATAAAGTTTCAAATAAGACTAGAATGCGCGAGTGTGAATTGATCAAACGTCCTTTTAATTTCTAAGGCTTCCTTTCCGGCAAATAAAATGAACTGAATGTAAAAAGTGAAAGACAAGTAGCGAAAAATTCAACTTCTAATTAAATCTTTTCTTATGGTTTAGAATAAACTATTCTCGAAACTGAGAATGTTTTGATCAAAGCTGTGTAAATCGAGCTGAAACTGTGCATGGAATCTTGCGTTTCCTGTATTTATCTCACCTATTGTATGGAATATGTGTGAAAATCTTCATTATGAATCGGTATATTTCAAAGAGCTACACAACGAGCAAGAATGCTATCGGACCGACAATATACAGAGCGGGGGCAGCTGTAGTGTCAACTATTACTAGTTATCTCTACTAGAAGCCTATTTAGAAAATTATTCAGTTTTTATACTCTCATTATCTCTTATATACCTAAACGAGGCCACTATAATGTGCTTATCTCTACAAAAAGCTTATTTAGAATAATATCAAACTCTTAGCGCCCTAACTAAGTATTTATCTTAAATGTTCAGGTGATGTTTAAAGTGTTTGAGATGACCGACTTCTGCATCCCCTCAAGTTCGCTCCGTGCTCTCGCTCCAAGTAGCTTCCTCACCAACTTCTTTAGGTGTTTAGAGTAACCACCCAGTACGTCAATTATTACGTTGTACTGTTCAACCCTGTAACCATTGTATCTCTGCTTCAGCTCCCACATCATGGGCCCATACTTGAGTGTCTTTTCCTCATCTTTCTTAGCTCTACTCTCAATCCATGGGCAGCTTATTTCAATTGTGCAGACTTCTTTCCTCTCGTGGCTGACAAGTCGCGCGTCGATCCTATTTGCTCTAACTTCGTTGTGCTCTGCATAAAAGGGAATATCCCAAAACGCCTCACTCGTGGTGTTCTGGTAGGCTGGTTTTGGCTTCACCGGTGAGTACCATGGTGGTACCTCTTCTATTAACCCATGCCCTCGCAGGAGCTCAAAAAACAGAATCTTCAAAGCTGCATTATGCCTGTATAGGTACTTGGTTTGAGCCAGGGAGGAACATCCAGCCAACACATGTGCAACGCTCTCAGCTACCTTCCCACATAACCTGCATAGGACTTCGCCGTCGGTGGAGGTTTTCGTCTTCTCCTTTGTGTAGAGCTTCGTAGGTAACAACTGCTCATACAGTTCATACATGCCCGCGATGGTATATGTAGGGCATGTAGACCAACCTTGTAACCATGCAAAGCAGCTGGTTATGCTTAGGCTCTCATCTTCCCATCTGATACGGAATAACTTTCCTTGCCACTTTTTGTCTTTAACGATCTCCAAGAACTGCTTCCCTTGAGACTGCTTCAACAGATTCCCAGCTTTTGCTGCAGTCACCACCTTTCCTTCTGTTGTAACACACACGGGATTTAGGGTATCAAGCTGAAGTGTGATGTTGAATACTTCAGCGTACTTAGCTGCTTCCTTTACAAGCGATGGTGGCCTGATGCCATGGCGTGTTCTTCAAATTCTCTAACTGCTTCCAAAGTCTGGTCCGATTTCTGATACAATTTCAGTAGCGATTTGATTTTAGTGATCTTGTACTGGTGTTCGACTGATCGCAGGCCTCTACCCCCTTTCTCCCTCGGTAGATATAACAAAGAAGTTAGGTTAGCTGGGTGCTTGCCACCGTTCTCAACTATGATCTTCCGAGCTGCTCTGTCCACATCTCTTAACTCTGACAGAGGCCAATGCTGTGTCCACATTGAGTACCGCAGGACCGAGAGTGCATACTGATTAGTTGCCTGTACACGGTTACAATCAGACAGGGGGCTGGACCATATGATAGATATCCTGCGTAGATACTCTTTAGCCGCGCACGCTAGGGCCAGCCGTTCATCCTGTCGAACGTTCTCTAGCACCCCCAGGAATTTGTAGTGTTTTCCGTCCCCAAGAGCCGTGATGGTAGTTGTCTCGTCCATCCTCATAACAGACTCGTCTAGCACTTGGGCTCCCCTCTTCACGTGTACTGTACCACTGAGCACTTTTTCTGATTCCAGTGGAGGCCGATGTCCTGCATCGCTCCTCTAGTCTCTTTCAGCACTCGGTTCAGCTTGCTCTCGGAGGCAGCAAAAGCCTTCAGGTCGTCGATATACAGGAGATCGGTGACTTTGACTATTATTATTATTATTATTATTATTATTATTATTATTATTATTATTATTATTATTATTATTATTATTATTATTATTTACTGGGGGTCCTTTTGTGGGGGCTAATTTGGCTCCCTTAGTCAGGGCCAATGTAGTCTAATATCTAGGGCTGATTTGGACCCACCGGTTGAAATGACTACCAGCGTGACTGTAATGGGCGTTTGATGGGGCTATTTTTATTGGTTTAAATAAGGCTCCATATCACGCGAATCAGCTTTGGCCTGCGGAGCCATTTACGTTAATTAGCTTGAATGTTATTTTGTACATTAGGAGCTCTGTCAAGAAAAAGAATCCACCGAACGCCCCATTGCTAGAGACTTATGCTAAGAAGTCTAGAGACTTCAAATCACTCCTCTGTAACCATGCACTCCCTTCCCTTGGAGTTCAGCATTTAGCTGCCCACCCCCACCCCCACCCCCAGGTTTCGTGCGTGCTAATATGTTATGTATATAATTCCACGGTCCCACGGCTTTCTTGGAAAAGTCAGTGAAAAGTGACGCTGTCGCTTTCTTCTTAAATTGATATACACTGTTTTATAGAAAACCTTTTCAAGCTAAGAATAGTCTCACGCACTAGCAAAGAGAAAATATGCTAAGGCAAAGAAAGATCCATCTTTTTAACTGTGATCAGCTCTAGTAACGAACTCCGTGTCATCGAGGATTTACTAAACTCCACCAGACCAATGCTTCATGACAAACTTGGTTTCGATTTCACAGTGGAGCATCGCTACTTCTCCCTTACTGAAATCGATGAATTGAGTGAGAAAGTTATTCCCGCACTAAAGATGGATTTTGCAGTTTTCGTCGTTCACGCTCAAGAGTCACGCCTGTCGATAAACGATGGCCGCGGTTATACCAAGGTATACAGAGCTTTAATGAAAGCTACAGGTAAGAATTCAAAACGCCACCAGTAATATAATGCTTCTTATTATTGTAATTTTCATTGAATTGCAAACATTACAGATCTTTCTGGCCGGATTTAAGTGGCCAAAAACGAGGTGTCAAACGACCGTCAAATTTGAACCGATAACCGTCAGCTGAACCGTCACAAAAGTTTATGTTTTTACCGTCAACCATCAAAACGGTATGACCTCATCAATTATTTACTTCAACTCAGAAACAATTCGAATCAACCGATCGATATAAGATACGAGTTTCCATCGTTAAGAACCAATTGAACGCATTGGGAGTTTTAGGCTACGGATAGCTTTTTGCTGGCACGACTGAAAACGATACCGGATACTGGGTTTCTGTTTCTGTGACGAAGCGAAGCTGGGCCCTGCCGATCTCTTAAGTGGATCGGGAGTCACATATCGGATAGGTGCTCATACTATACCGGATAGCTTTTCGTACTGACCCGAAAAGCAATCCGGTATAGTGTGAAAATAGCCTTAATTTTCATTTTATTGCCGAGAGTAACAGAGCTGTGTCAGAGTCTCCATTAATCTGTCATAACAAGAAAAACTGAAAACTGAAAACTTTATTTACGCTCCAGATCCTCGAGTATAAATAAAGTTTTCAGTTTTCAGTTTTTCTTGTTATGACAGGTGAACTCATTGTATGACCTGTATTTCATCGTGACCAAATATTTTGAAAATAATATTACTAGTATAGTTGACACTACAGCTGCTCCCGTTCTGTATATTGTCAGTCAATGGTATTCTTGCTCGTTGTGTAGGGTGTTTAGGTCTTTGAAATATACCGATTCATAATGAAGATTTTCACACATATTCCATACAATAGGTGAGATAAATACAGGAAACGCAAGATTCCATGCACAGTTTCAGCTCGATTTACACAGCTTTGATCAAAACATTCTCAGTTTCGAGAATAGTTTATTCTAAACCAGAAGAAAAAATTTAATTAGAAGTTGAATCCAGTTTTCGTTATTTCTCTTTCACTTTTTACATTCAGTTCATTTTATTTGCCGGAAAGTAAGCCTTAGAAATTAAAAGGACGTTTAATCTATTCACGCTCGCGCTTTCTAGTCTTATTTGAAACTTTATAACGGAAGGACATCTGTGAGCAGGGAATAAGTCAGCACAGAATTTGATTGGCGCCGAATTTCTGTAATCGTCCATCATTATGCTAGTGATAAGCTAGCCGTTGCTCACTCGTCTTGTTTGTTTGGGGCTGAGTCTTATTCC